GGTGCAGGGGCCGGAGGAGCTGCCGTCGCTGGGCGCCGAGCGCCAGGCGCTGCCGTGGCTGCGCGAGGGCCACCTGACGCTGCGCCGTGTGTCGGTGCGTGAGATGAGCAACGCGGGGGGCGTGGCCGCGGTGGCGCCGGAGCTGCGCCGTTGCCGCTTCCCGTGGGAGCCGCTGCCCGGGGCGCCGCCCGCCAGCAGATACTCGTACGGCGGTTGCGTCGCCGCGTGCCGCCGCGCCAGGGAGAGGGAGCTCTGCGGCTGCTACCTCCACCTCGCGCCCGCGCACGACGGTAAGCGAGCGACAGCAGCCCAATTTACGGGAAGACGAGACTCTACTGCAAATTTATTACTATTCTCCTCCCTTTCCTGCAGTATTAATTGAAAAAATGCTGTATTTCTAAAGGAATAATTTCATAGCCACACAATGTGTTAAGTCTTTTGTTCTCGCAACAATCACAGAAAACAAAACAAAAACACAATTTCAGGGAGATTTTTCGCGATTTCAAAAAAATGAAGGGTGATGGCGGAACTGTAGCTTCAGATTCGTATTAAGCGTTTCGACGTGCATAGAGAAACATGTGTCAAGATTTTCGATCTAACGTTTTTGTGTGTGTCTGTGTTGTTGTTTTTTCTGCTCATATGCTATCTTCCTTGATCTAACTTCATTAATAACAGCAAGTATCGTGAGATGGTTTCTCAGCATGTTTAGCGGGGTGTCCTAAACGATGTTTGCGAAGCTTGACGCTTTTGAATGATTATCTAAAAATGTGTATATTGAGTCGAGTTCACGCTCGATTGTGAGAATATATTTGGACTAGACTAGAAACGAGTTATGTACAATGTGATCTGAAGACGACTTAATGATAACTGAAATGTTGGCGTGTTACGAATTGTTGTTTTCTCTACATTTCCTACTATCAATATATAATCTTAATTATTTGCACAATTTCATATGTTAATTTTTTTAAAAGAATTTTGGAATACAAATTTTTGGGAGAATTGTTAAGAAATGTATTATAAATGACAACAATGTACTATACATTATGATAAAATATGCATTCAACATTACTTTATATTTAGAAGTATATGCTAAAATGTTGGAGAATTTTATAAGAGGATTGCGGTAGAAATCTGCTAATCCGATCCACGCAAATTCAAAATTTCGAATAATCCGAATAAAATTCTGCATAGAGGAAAAATAAACAAAATAAATAAGATGCATATTTGTAGCGTATAAAAAGGTTCTTATTATTTGTGTAGAACTGAACAATTATAGACACAAAAATTGAAATGAAATGTTTATTGCTACGGTAGCATAAGTTTATGCAGCAGAAGAGGGACTTGCAAAATCGGTATTCACCTTTTGCCGTTCAGAACTGAATCTGTGTGATGTGATGATGTGATTGCTACGTTGCCATTTTCTCACCCATTGCAATCTACGTTATGTAGGGTATTCCTCTAGATATATTTGGACATGTAAGGTATATTTTTCCAGATAATCCGAGCAGATCTCGGAGTATTGGGGTTTACAATATATGTAATTATAATAAGATTTTTTGAATGTGAAATTAGAGGACCCACGTAAGTGTATATTTCGATTTATTTAGAAGGGCCTCTGACAAGTCATAAGATGTTACGGTGTCTTACAATCGGGAGCATACACGTCATTACAGTATCTATACTTCGATACTATATAAGCCTATACTTCAATTTATTTAGAGCCGCACTTGAAGTGAATCAGATGCTATGGTGTCACACAATCGGGAGCTTCAACATCACTACATTGGGGTCCCTATGGTTTCGCTCAAGTTCTCCCGGTTGTATGACATGGTAACAGCCGCTTCACTTCCAGTGCAGCTCCAAATAAATCCGAGTGTAGGCGCGTGAAGAGTGGCACGGGCGCGTGCGCGGGCAGAGGGCGCGCCGGCGTGCGACCTGCGCGGCGTGCACTGCCTGCTGACGCACAGCGCCGAGCTGCTCGCCCAGACGCCGTCGCGCGGCCAGTTCGGCCTCTTCTGCGACTGCCCCGCCTCCTGCCAGGAGATGGCCCTCAACACCGTCTACGAGGACATCACGCTCAGGTACGCGCAGCCGCCAGGACCCCACAACTCCCATATGACGTGGTGGGGGGACCATTACAGTGGCGCGCTCTAGAGCGTCGCCTTCTTACGCCTGTTTTACACGGTCATTTTTGCGACCTTATTTCATCATTTTTCTGTACAGTAAATGGATGGAAAAAGGACGTTCGTTTTTACGTAGTATGTTACGGTGCCGAAACTGGATGACAGTGATTCCAGCGTTTTACACAGTCATTTCTGTCTTAATACGTACGTAATCGTGAAGAAAATACTTTCTCCGGAGGCCGCATATAGCGCTGACGTTCAAACATTTGAACATCGCATCTGTAGTAACAAATTAAGTTAGGTTATATTCGGACTGAGCACGGATGCGACAATATTAGAATACAGGACATAATTTATTTCTCACTACATAACCACTTCAGATTACAATTCTACACATCAGAACGCTCTGTGGCAACTGCAAAATATCGCTCCACACGCATTACAAACCAGAGAAAGTCCCGTAAAGTGCCGCCAGGAGCGCGGTAGTCAAACTGAATGAAATTATCGAAAAATTAAGCATATGTCATTTTTTCGTACGAATTACATCCAGTCTGATCTGTATCTTTTCTGTTCCGGCGAAAAATGATGAACAAATGATTGTGTAAAACAGGCTTTACACGATCTAAAATACGAACTGCTACCAACGTTATTTCAAACGTGCGCGGGTTCTCGGGACACAAACACACGCGCTTGATGCACAAGATGGCGCCGCTGTTCGAACTACCTTTTCTTTCATGCGTGTATTATTATGAATAAGTGAATTTTAGAAGATAAAAACATGGTATTTAACTTATTTCGTAATTTATTTCAGAAATCGCTCACAATCAAAGTGTATTCGCATTTCTTGACCAATTTTTATGTGCGAAAGTTGACGAGCCTTACCAGCAGCTGTATCCGGCGACACTAGCGCATCCTATAGTAGCAATCTCTAGCTTTGTCCCCAGTTTTGATGGAGAGTTGCCGGGCCCTGTTATGGTCTCCCTAATCGTAATAAATAGACTGCGGCATCGCGAGGTCGGTGAACGATAGCGAAGAATGCGTGACGGGCACGTTTCGTTGTTCGAATGAGAACGGCGAGTTTTATATTTTTTATAAGAGCAGTTTGACAGAAGATGCATTGTAAATTATGCGTTAACCATACTGAAGTATATTTGTATGTGCATTTACTTGGGCCTAAGACCGGAATCTTGCGTAATGAATTTCACCTTCAGTGTTTGAGGTTATAAACACCCGTACGCTAGTCCATGCTGTCGTACGTCGAAGTGAGTCGCTTGCTTCACGTTTTGTAGTACAAGGCAGAAGAACCTATTTTTTTATTTTACTTATGTTTCATCCACAAAGGTAAGAGGATAAAATTGCTCTATGATATTCATCATTGACTTACGGACTTTTCGAGAAAAGCTTGGAGAACGGTCACGATGTTTCAACCCCCGTGCTTCTACATGGCCAGAATGCCCACTTTACACCTGAATCCTCTTTCTTCCTTTCATTATTTGTGTGAGAAAATCCCGTTTCACAAAAAAAACAGGACTGGGAGATACGCCCGTGATTAAAAATATGATTTTAAACTAAAAAAGAAAACTAGAAATTTTGCTTGAACTTTGGTACCATAATAGTAATGCGACAGTCACACTATAGTAATATTACTGGCATGTAACTGATGGCAAATATATGTAATTGACCTTCTTGTAATTTACGCGAACAATTAAGCATTACATTATTAAAACGAACAAATGTTGAGTCATAATTATTACAATTATTTGAATTTGAAACACTTTTTTTGTACACCGTCGTGTGATTTTCACCTGAATGCCTGCAGCGATGAGCTGAAAGGAACAAATCACGCCCAGCTGACGATCCAACTTGACCGACTTGCCACGGAGCGCGAACATCGCCTGGTGGTGACGGGGCCTTTGGATGTTGTCGGTGAGTCGCCGAAAATACAATTTTCTCTTTATACACAATTCACAATATTTACCAAAAAACGAAGATTTCATTTTATTTTTTATATTAATAAATTATTTATCATTTGTATTGTTAAATACTAAATATGCCAGTAACAGGTATTGTTCTTCAATGCCTGGCCCAATGACACCCCCTCCCCCTCCCATTTGGGTCAGTCTCCACAGCTGTTGTGGGCGGGCTTTACTGCACGTTGTGTCATTTTTCCTTTTTGGTTGATCTTTGAGAATTAAGTGCTTTGCACATGACGAGCAATAAACACGGCTTTTCCCATTACATAACCTAACCCAGTTGCCTTAAGTAGAGCTGGAAATTTGGGGAGGTTAGTGCAAAATGCGCTTTGCAAAAGAGAGTTTTTGCATATTTGTACCACCTTGGGTTGAGGTTGTCTATATATTAAGTGACATTCGATATACGTATCACATAAGGCTCGAGTTCAGATAATTTTACGGCGCTGGCGGCACTATTATGGCTTTATACCAAATTCAGTGTCTTATCGTAACGAGTTGACTACGACAACGATATAATGTCGGTGAACGACAGAAGAGCAAGTGATGAGAACAAGGTCATTTTCTGTTGTAGTTCGAATGAAAATGGCTCATTGTACACAATTAAGCAAGTATTTCGTCATAAAATACGTTGGAAAGTTGTAGAGGCTGAAATATGTTTAATACGACGAAGGTCGGATCTTCGTCAGCGACTTCGACCCGCATAGCGAAGCGTGGAATTGTCAAAACGCGCAGAAAAGCACTTAGGAATAACATTGCAAATTATGCGATGGACAGACTCTAGTACATTTTATGTAATCGCATTGGCCGGAGCCTTATAAAATTGGAAACGCATAGCGTAGCGTTACAGGGCCTTAAAAGTTTGGTGTTATTAACCTGACGCCATTCCGCTCGCTCGCCTATGTTCTCTCGTTCGCTACGATAAAGCAGAAGAGCCTTAATTTAATTACGTCTTATTATAATGATGGCCACATCAACCACGCCGAATATTACCGACTCCGTTGTAATTTACAAAACTATGAGTACTTTATTCACAACATTTCTCAGTTACAATCATATAACATTATACACACTCGCATAACTTTGGACACACATTTATTTACAGTTTATAAATTTTACAAATCATTTGCAGCAGTGAACCTACAATTTCTATATGGTGTTAAATAGAATTTATACACTTTAAAAACGCAATGCATTACAAAATCTTTCTAAGCTTTGACCCAGCTGTGGTAGACATATTTTCGTTACGAGCATTTAGTAGTGGCTGTAGTTCTTGGAAAGCGCGATCAAAGTGAACGAGTATTCTTCAAGATTATTAACGATTATTGAAAGAAAAAATGTAGTAATAACATTTTCTTTCTTTCGAATTCGCCTACTGGAAATGAAGTGTTCCAATGACAACCAACGTCTACTTCCGGGATGACCTATGACTACCAAAGCCAGACAGCTCAAGAATTATCGAATTATAATAAGTTGTATAAAACCCCTGAGAAAGACCTAGTTATCAGTCAATGAAAAACGTTGCAGTTCATCATTAGAAAAATACATAAAAGCGCTAGCAGTGCCTGTTCATCCAAGGTACAGTAACAAAATAAAGTTGATAAGCATAAAAATTATATTTCAGTGATCATTAGAGGTTCGTATTACCTGAGCCCACGTGTGATTACTTAGGAGTATGTGATATTCCTTTTCAAAAACGAGTATTTTCAGGTAGTTCCTTACCAGAATTAGGTTGGATGAAAATCACTTTATTTACAACCACTAAGAAAATGAAACGTTTTGTCAATACCCACTTGTAAAACGTACATTTACTCACATTGCAAACAAATATACACTTATGCTCTGACTACTCTGGAGGTACGGCCAACGAGAGAGAATGTAATTGCCTTTGTACACTGTGAACACTTTTGCTGACACGTCCACAATGTGGGTGCGAAATGACGGGAGGGGAAACGCTGATCCATCCTTAGTTTGATGTGCCTTTTTGGGATAGTACAACTTCTCCTTGCCAGTAAATCCATATTACCAACCAATATTGGGTTCAGTTCACACTCTGAAACGTGCAAATGAAACGAACTGAATTGTACAAGAAAACTTTCGTGGAGCCTTCTAAACATTCATTCCGATTCTGTTGCAAAAGCAAATTATGTCTACTTTGCACTCAATTGAAGGACTCGGCTGTAGACGGTCCTAAGTTAAATTTTCGATAAAAATAAGGTCATCCTACTAACACACTTGCTTTGCTGATTATTACATTTTGTACGAGAATAGTAGGAAATGACGCTGTCATTCAAAGTACTGAAATCTTTATCGTATTATTTCTCAGAACGAATTCGATGTGGATTAGGACAATCTAAAGCAGGGAGTTCCAACGGGGTCGGTATTGACCCTTAGGGGTTGTTATTTTGAAGAGAGTCAATGGTGATCAAGGGGACGATTGGGGGGGGGGAATAGAAATCCCATTCATTACAGAAAAAAAATATTAATGAACTTGATAATGGATTGTTTTGATATAAATAAACAAAACATATAATAATAAATTAAAAATTCGCTCCTCTTGTTTCGTATCCATCACTCAGCCTGAGGAGTTAGGAGGTATAGAGAACTAAAAAAAATTATAATGATGCATGTACAATACTTGCACAAATATAATAAATAAACAACAGCGGACAAAAAAAATCTCCGCCGGACGCACTGAAGAAATGTCAGTTCTTAAAACAACACTCAGTATTTTATAACCTCTGCATTATAATGAAGATTAGAAACTCATTTGCTTAAAAGTGGAAGCGTCTTCCATTATAATCGAAGATGTTTATTCGAAATTAAAGTATGCCTACACAGTGCCGAAGCTAGATAATTTCGGGCTCGAGACAATGCTAAAACGTATCTCTCCCTCCCCCCCGAGATAAACAAAATGTGTGTAAGTTGTATCAAGAAACTGTACGACGTATTCGATTTCAATTCGGGATATTCAGTCCCGAGAAACTGCAATGAAAATACTTGGCCAAATATATGTAGAATATATATAATTTTTCAAAAATGTCTGTTAAAATATCTTGGATGTTAAGAGGAGAAAATTTAAAGGCTTAAAAAGCACAATAACATCATTGTTTTGTAAAATTTTCAGAATAGTCTGACATTTTTTATCTTATACGAGTAGAATCCTACCTTAAAGTAATGACTATAATTAACTAAAGGTAAAAAAATAATTGAAAATTATATGTAATAACGGATCACTGTACCGTGACTTATAAAATTACGTTAACGACTTTCTCGAGCTTCAATTTCTTCTTCGATTTTTTACTACTATTTTTTTCATCAGTCGCATCGTCGAACCCCTTGAATTTCGAGGCCCCGGGCGATTGCCCGGTCTGCCCATCCCTAGCGTCGGCACAGGGCCTATATAAGAGTTTCAATAATTATTAAATTCGAGGTATTTACAAGAATACTGGAGTTTGAAACTGTCATCTTAAAGACCATTCTTTGTGGTATGATTATCGATGCTACATATTGCAAAGAATGTGCGGTCGATGAAGTGAAGAAATCTCTTCAAAGGGGTTCGAGGAAGAAAAAGGTTGGGAACCTCTGATCTAAAGCCAAGCCCTTCAATTTTTCGATTCGCCACCACTCTCCAGTTATGAACGTCCCCCCACTCCCACGCTGGGGAAAAATGCTAACTCACACGTTACCCTTAATATAGAAAGATTATACTAAGAAGGAACTGCATTGATAGTCACTGCTTGGCTGTTGCTGACAACTGCAGATTACATCCATGCCTTGAATTCGCCAATGACGTCGCTTACGTTGGCTCACGTGTAAGTGTCGTCATCACTATCTCTTGCAATGCCATCGTCGTACGTGCCATTTCATTTGTTTCCCGGTGTGTTAAACCGGCCCCGTCTTGGAGTATCTCATCTACAGCACAGCGTCTGGGATCTACGTCGACGGGAGGAACTGAAAGCAGGTCTCGGTGAGCCGGCCGACGCGGCCGTAGTACATGACGTCGCCGATGATCTTCTCGGCGAGCAGGCGCTGGTCCTCGCGCATGGCGCGCAGCTGGAAGGCCAGGCGCCGCCCCACCACGGCGAACTCGTCGTCGTCGGGCGCCAGGCACGCCGCCCCCGCCCCCGGCGAGTACACGGCGGCGGCCGGGTAGGAGGCCGCGACGGCCGCGGCGGCGGACGCGTCCAGCACCGCGTCGTCCTCGGCCTCGAAGTCCGGCGGCTCGCTCTTGACGTGCAGCTTGGCGCGCTTGCTGGCGCCGTTGGGCAGCCCCTCGCCGCCCGCAGCGGGGGCGGAGGCGGAGTGGGAGGCGGCGGGCGCGCCGGCGCTGGCGACGCTGCTCGCGGCCTCCAGCGACGCCGCTAGGTCCACCTCTCGCTGCTGGAAGGAAACGAACGGGCGTTAGGCTATTACTCGCGCAATTTTCCTTCACCGATAACCTTGATCCCCCCTCCCTTGCGCAAGAAACAGTTGAAGGCGAAAAGCACGCAGCGGGCACTCATGACAACCTTCCAAGCATTAAAACTTCGTTGGTGCGAAACAGAAGCTAGTCAAAGCCAGTTGCTTTCATACTGCAGAACTCCTGTTCGGGTTTATTGTCAATATCGAAAGAACTGGCTGAGTCAGGTCCAGGTCCTTCACGACAGTCACCTAAAACTCCCGAAAAAGTTAAGCACAAGATGCAGTTTTGACTTTCATTTCACAGACGTTGACATTACTTAAAATACTCTAGTGGCGGACTTTGCAACTAATACCCCCACTCCACCCGAAATCGTTAATCCATCTTTCAAGAAAAGTTGCTCGAGTAATACTCGCAAAGCGAGACACAGGACCGTGACGTGACCCAGTGTGATTCATCGTGAGTTTCTGATAACCAATGCTTATTGGACCCGCACTGGTGGCAGTGGTTATCAGAAACTCGCCATGAGTCACACTGCGTCACGTAACGTCACCTGCGTGGCGTGTAGTATGGTTACGTGGGAACTAGTTGAAAAAGTCAGTATCGTTGGATCACAAAATCAGGACATTATAAAAAAATGCCCAAACTTTTTGTGTAATGACATACAGGTACAGAGTTCTTACAATGCTACAAAAGAAATCAATGTATACGTTAATATTGCATTTTAAGGTAAATTATTTGACTATCACAGCTTTATTATTAAGGATTCTTCCTATTTCTGTTCCAATACTTCCAGTACAAACAAAAGAATAAGACATTTATTGTTCTTATAGTTAGAAACAGTTTCACTTCAAATATAACTTTTTTATCTAATGAAATTGTAGATTTTTGTGTATTTTATATTAAAAGTTATTAAAATTTAAATAAATATTAAATAGATTATACATATTAAAAAAGTTAGGCCTTTTGAAAACAAAACAGCAAAACAGGGCAGTGTCTAAATTTCAGGTCATATGCTGATAAATCAGGATGTGTGGTAACCCTACTTGTGAGTTGAAAATTGGAAAATACAGTCGACTGTCGGAATAGTCCACTCGAATATAGTGAACTTTCGATAATAGTGACCTTAAGTCATTGGCTCGGATCTACAGGCATAACGAAGCTTTTTTAGATTATAGTGAACTCTCAACATGAACTAAGTAAATACAGCTTCCAGGAAAAATGTTACCTAAGTGACACACCTCAGAATTCACCATGTCAGTATGTGGTCCTCTCTCAATAATGATTTACTACATCTGCTCCCAAAATTAACGGTAATGAATTTTCCCCAATTTCTGTTTATTGTCCTTCGAAAATCGCTAGTAATATAAAATTATTATACATTTTTACAAAAACATTAATTTTCTCTCGCTCACACGTTAAAACTTTCTATAAAAAAAGTATTTCTTCCTATATTTCAACAATGGTTTCCAGGAGTTTTTACAATCTATTTACAGTACGATTAAATATATAACATAGAACTGCATACCCAGCAACATACATTTATCAAAATTCTATTCATCATTTGATAAGTTACCACATTGCCGAGCGACGCACTGCGCAGGCAGGCCCCACCCTTCCTCCTTGTGAGTGAATGGGGGCCTAGTGTCGCCACTGCAAGTTTGTCGGTCGGTGGAGTATATTTCTGAAGTTTTTCAATCTACAATAAATGCGAAATCGGTTGGGAAATGCGAAATCACATGCAAAGTGTGAAATCGGTGAGAATTTGCGAAATAATTGCTAAATTACATTTTATGGTTTCTTTCGTGTTCGCTGTCTAACAAGGGATGCGACATCGACAACATATTGATGTTTGAAAATATTAAATTTAAGAGTGGGCGTCATTATTACTTTATAATTAAGATTTAACTGACAAAGTAAAAAAATAATAAAAACAATTATAAAAAAACTGATCCTGAAAGCCTAACCTCGATGCCTTCCGTAGGCAACCAAGACATTTACTGTGCGATGGACTGAGAGCGGAGATGAGTGTGCACCTTGTAATAGCGTGTAATTTCTTTTTCCTTCTTTGTTTTTCTTAAATTTGGAAATATCAAGCAAATTATTCAATTTATTTTTGTTTATGATCAATTACGATAAATTCATTTTCATATTAAATTCTTTATTTCTATTATATAATGGGATCTCTACGTTCTCTTTCATCCTGTGGCAACTCATTAGGTATAATCTCAGGCCAAACAGCAAGTGTTTTGTTTCTTTAGCGCCGCCACCTGTACGTAGAATAGCAGGGCAAGATGATTGATGAGCGGAAATCGGAGTCTCGTGACCCGGGTAGTAGCTTTATAGTATATGCGTGTAGATTCCTGAACTTAAAATTCGATTCTTATTACGGAGAATTTCGTTTCGTGCTAACAAGGTTTTACTGTAAATACCACTTCTCTTATGTATGTTCCCGCAGGAGATATGGCTTAATATTCTTTGGAGAAACATTCCAGACCCAGACCTTTAGAATGCAGAAAAAATACAAATAATAAAACAAATTCCATTCAAACGTTTCCTGCAAGCTTCTCTTCATTGCGCTAGATATACTACCATTTAAGTGTATGTAGGTTGTACCAAACTTTTTTTTCAAGTTTGAAAGACTCGTGTTAAACAGACAGTTGTTTCATAGTGGCAAGCAATACCAGAAGCTTTTCCAGTGATTTAATGTCCTTTGTTGCCACACTCAGCATAAATAAATGAAGGAAATAGAGCATCGTACCAACTGAGCTCTTTTGCCATTCATTTGTAATGCCTAACATCAAAATTTCACCTCATTTTAAGTACCCAGGTATTATAGCTATGGGGACTGTAAAGTATCTAAAGTAAAGGACTGAAATCTGGAAGTCGCTTTAGATTGCCCGCGAAGGATCATACAGCGCACACGCGGCAAGGGCAGTAGAACGCTACCACTGCCGAGGCCTAACTCTCCAGCACAAAGAATGATGCAATATTATTCTATATGTAAGAGTCTAATCATTACTAAATCAAGTACTGTACTTAAGCTTCGCAGTCAATGAACCTCTTCTCGATCAGGTATTTCGTTCTGTTTTTCTTGATCCATTGAGTCAAAGCTGAGATGACCCCTTGTCTTGCAGCTGGTCATAAATGTAGCATTACTATAAGAAGGATTCCTTGACCTCTTTTGCTTCTTGAGAGCTAACTAGGGATGAGGGATAGTTAGTTTGTCAGCAATACTACAAAATCAAATCTGTAGTACGCTTGCGATGCTGAGACATTTTCAATGACGCGAGCGAACATTTCTAGTATTCAAATGTCGCCAACCATGATCGACGATGCATTTATTCATAATACAGGGTGCGCCAGAGAAACTTACTTATTTGAAAAAATTCCCGCGCGGTGAGTTGGGCGGTTAGAGGGGCGAGAGGGGGCGTATCTGAAGGGGGAAGTTCCCAAGTTTTTTTCTCCTTCCAGTCAGTTGCCATCATGCGGTGGACTAGAGAGCAGCGGGCCTTCGCAGTCGAGAGCTTCTTTTCTAACGGCACATTATATACTCACCGCGCGGGAATTTTTTCAAATAAGTAAGTTTCTCTGGCGCACCCTGTACAATTAGAATAAAAGGGTGGGGCGGAAATTCTGGAGCACAAGAAAAAGCTGCTCTAAATATAAATCATCCCCGTACCACAGAGTTTTTGCAGATTTTTAGGGAAAATTAAATTATTATTATTATTATTATTATTATTATTATTATTATTATTATTATTATTATTATTATTATTATTATTATTATTATTATTATTGTAATTTATATTTTTTTATTAAATATACATCAAGAAATATATTTTTAGGATTTATCTTGTGAAATTCGCATTGTAATCGTAAATAAATTGCGCCCAACACTTACAAGGAATTTAACTCTGTTTATCCCTGCATTATATATTTAAATTATAAGTGTTGTATATTTGTACGAATATTTCTACATCACAGTATTTACCGTTCGTTCACGTTAAATTAAATAAAATTGCATTGATGCAATTTAATAATAAGAGGAGGCTTTGAAAATATTTTCGTCCCCACCGCCCGGTGCTTGCAGAAAGAAATTTGACAGGGCTTCAAGATAAATTAATGAGTGAAACTATAGCCTCTCCTTGTAGTAGCCGCAAATAATTTGCTAAATCTTTGGCATCGTCGTGGTTGATTGTGAACTAAAATGACAAAAATCCTTTAAAACTCTAAAATGATTGCAAAAACACCTATTCAAGAATAGGTAAGTCAAAGCTTCCCGCCGCGCAGTTCCGCAAATTGCCGTCAGTTCGCAGCAGCGTCCTTAGCAGTGCTCGAGTCAGGCGCCAGGGGCGCTGACGGTCTGCGCGTCACAACTGCTCCCGTGCTCCCTCGCGCGCCGCGCCGCCGCCCGCCCAGTGCTCGCTGCTCCGGAGGGCGCGAGCCAATCGATGCTCCCCTCCGCCGCCCGCTCTCCCCTCTCCCGTGTCTTCCGCGTCACCCCCGCCGCGACGCGAGCCTTTGGTGCAGTTGCGTGGGCACGACACAATAGACGAGACGCCAATACTTGCATGAAGATTGCGGTAAACAACGCCAAAAACGCGCCGAACGGCTATTGCCTTTCCTGACCATGTTCTTTTCTCTATTTTCAGATCAGCCATAGATGTCCGAAAGGATAGGGATGGCTACACAGCAGGGAAGTGTGGCGGCATTGCACTACTGCGGCCACACGGAACTGCGCTGCAAAGCACTGTTCGGGGGCACGATAAGAGAATGGCCACGACATCGCGGCGCGAAATCCTTTGCAACTGCTCCCGGGAGAGGCTCGTGCCCGCTCGTTTAAACAGCGGGCTGTAAGAGGAATGTTCTTGGCTGAGGCGAGTGCTAGGCACGTGGACATTTGAGTAAAATTGAGAGATACATTCCTTACGTAATAATCCACGAGCTCCGAGGAAGCATGACTCATTTTCTGATCGAAATCTGAAAGTATTCATTACAATTTTAGTTATTAATTGACTTCAAAGTAAAACAACCTTATTTTAAAATTTTCAGTTGCTAAACAATATCTATTTTTTGTTGTTTTTTTTTTATTTTGGGAGAGGCATTAGCCGGGACAGGCGAAGTCCAGTCCGTACTTCTGTATACAGTAACGATTGCAGAGTTGTTTTTTTCTTCATCTACCCTATCGGATGAATAATGCAGTGTTCAAGCAGTTGGCGTACTGGAGAAATTTGATCTTACAACCCCAGTAACTATATTTTCGATGATGTGACGGGAGCCTTCAACGACTAAGAAGCAAATTGACAGCTTAATGTTTTATATGACAGTTTTCGGAATCATAATGAACGTGCGTCCGAGCTTGAAGTAATCGTTGGTATTGAAAGGCAGTTAATAAAGTCGTAATTTGTTATCGTAGTCAATAAGTTATCTATCTTGGTAGATTCCTTTATTTTTAATTGGATGTTTTCTATTTGCTTTTCACTTAAAGACATCAACTGAATTCTTTACATTGGGAGAGGATTGTTTGCGTATTTATTGAACGCCAAAAAATTAATTACGTATAATAGGAGTGAGGGAGAAAACTAAATCGCGTCAGTCAGGGATTCTGTTCCATTGATTTGCGGGTGTCGGATCTCCAATATGTTGACCGAGAACTCTTAGTATCGCGCAATTTTTCTTGTTATTCGGAATCGTCCCACTACACGGTATGACAGTCAGAACACTATAGTTCAACAAGTAGACACGTGAACGGCCGTGCTAAACCAGGCCAAGCGCACTATCAAGACAAAGTGAAGGTGCTCTATCGGGGCCTGCCTTCGCCCCAATCTGCAGGCGTGCCAGGTCATCCACCGTCACGCTGACAGGAGGGCAGTACCTTCTCTTCGGGTACCTACAGTACCTATTCGCCGAGCAGCGAGCTACTGCTCGCTCAAACCCGAACAGCTGATGGGTTCGGAGAAGGTTCGCTCTCGTTGATAAGTTCTAAACACCCACACGCGGTGGGTAGGGCGAATACCGAACGTTCGGCGCTCGACGAATCGCAAGCAGCCCGTCCACACTACTCGGGTTCGGCGAGCGGTTGCTCGGAATTCGCCGAATGCCGCATGTGTGGAACCGCCTTAACACTTCTCGAGTTGGGACGCTGTTAACCTATCGGGGGCATCAAATTCGAAAATTGAAACTGGCGATATGATAACGTTATACCCTCTCCCAACTCAACAAGTGCTAAGAAATGTAAATCGTATTAGGAATGTCCTAGTGATGATACCAGTGTCGGATCCAGGGGAGGGGAGGACCCCTCCCAAAAGGCACAGAGATTTAATTGTTACCGTCTTTTATTTGAAAAAAATAATTTAAATATTTATTTCAATTATTTATTAGAATTATGTAATTATTTTTAAAAAATCTTATATTGTGTAGAGTCCAGTATACACTACAAAAATAATATATAATTTTAATAGCAAATATTTATTAATTTAATAATAATCTAATGGCCCCCTCCAAAATGATCGGATGGATCCGCCCCAGGATACTACCGGCACTGACCTGCGGGTTTGAAAGGCGCGTTGATGGGAGAAAACCTACCTTCTCTCCGATTTAAATTACTTGGCCCTTCACAGGCGCTGATGTCCAATCGGGAGCTTCGAATTCGAAAACAGAAGCTCTCGATTGGTGACCAGTGCTCCGCGATGAAAACCCTCCTCGAAGACGTTTCGCGTGTACGCGTCGCACTGACCTGCTGGTGCGTGAGGTCCTCCTTGAGCACGTTGACGAGGTTGACGCGGTCGTCACCCGTGACGGCCGCGTACTCCCTGGCGTGCGCCGACTTGTAGTGGCGCTCCACGTTGAACTTGCGCACGGACGTGACGACGGTGCCGCACACAAGGCACAGCGCGCCCGACGTGCCCTGCACGAACAGGAAGTCGTGCTCCCACTGCGCGTTGAAGGAGTAGGTGCGCCGCGGCGGCAGGTACGTGACTCTGACGGGGTCCATGGCGGTGGACGCGGGCGCGCGCGCGCTCCGCCGCTCGCTCACTGCCGCTCCGGGCGGGCCACGCGCCGCCCCGGGACGGAGCGCGTGCGGGAGGGGGAGCGCCGCCGGAGCGCCGGGGGGAGGCGGGCCCCGCGATGGGAGCTGCTCCCGAGCGCTCGCGGCGTTGCCGCGTCGCGCGGCCAGCGCCGTCTTGCTGCGAGGGGGCGGCCCGCCCCGGATGACAACGTTGCAATGTTGGTTTCTCATGATCGGTGAAAATCGCGTACACTCTACGTGCTCGCAGTGCTTGTTATTGTGTGATGTGCTCGCAGTACTTATTTGCGCAGTAATTTTGTGAAGTTGTGTGTGCTGTGGTGGTGCTGATGTGTGTGTGTGTGTGTGTGTATGTGTATGTATGTGTGTTTGTGTGAGTGTGTGACCAACAAGTTTTCTCTCTAAACAAGTAAAAATCTCTTCGAATTTCTTAATGTGATTTTTATCTTTGGATTAGATGGCAACATTGCAAACTCTTTTTTTTAATTTAATATTCACTCATTTAAATGTTTTCATTAAAAATTGCATTTGTTAATTTTCACTACAAGTTTTGATATTGAAATTTAATTTACGATTTTTCTTCTCTTGATCAGCGCCTGTTAAATGTCATTTTAGTTGCAATTTCAAACATTTTGAATGGACGGAGCTAAATGAACTGAATAACAAGATATAAACGTTCTATTGCTGAAATTAATTTTTATTAATTACATCAATTTTTATTAATTACATCAATTTTTATTAATTACATTAATTTTGACTAATTATATTAATTTTTCAAAAATTACATGAATGTATGTAGTATAATCTTTACAAATAATGCGAGTACATTCTGTTGTGGCACCACTAGTTTTCCTACGGAGCTTTTATATTCAGAAGTAAAAGTCATCATAAAAAGCACAAAACATCGATGTTGAGAGACGTCAGGTTCAATAAATAGACGTTAAAAATATTGATGTAGCATCTCTATTCTTCGCATCTTACGCATGCATGCTCTAGGCTCGAGTGATCCCCTTTTCCGGATGAGCCAGTTGGCGCAGCTGACGAGGCAACCTTGGTAGGGGCTTAATAGCACCTGTGGCGCAGACCCCCTCCCCCTTTTCAGCTCTCTACCCCCTCCCTCTCCCTCCGCCTCTCCTGACAAGCTACGTCTGAATGCACGACGAAATACCCGCTTGCAGGGACGGTTACTTCCAACAATTTCATATGGATGCAGGAGTAGTACATTAGATAATGGGCCACAGACTCTACGCGATGTTTCCCTCCCCTATCCTATCCCCATTCCCAGCCTGAGGTTCAGATGATGGAGATATCCAACACCCATCTCCCGTGATTTAGAATGATTCCGTGGTTTAGTGCTGGTGTCATTGCGTTTTCGACCCCGGAGCCTAAGCCAGTTTTACAACGGAAGACCGATGAGGATTCATATGTCAAATTCATTGGTGTGCGAAATACTCGTCTTTAGTTACAAGCACGTTGCCGCAATTCGCCCCTCACTATGTTTCGTACATACACAACACTCTTGAATAACTATGAGCTCAGATATCAAAACATCTGTTCATGTTTGCTTTGAGTTGGTTATTCTTTATCTGCCCTGACATTAGACATCGCTAGATAAAAGAAGAATTCAAAATTTTCAGGTTGATATTGCCCCCTTCCCCTTGTGCTTGTGTTGTGATTTTCAACTTTAAAAAAAGAATTGACAGTGGACAGCGACAGACAGCGGACAGCGTTAAACAGGTAACGATATTGTAATACGAAGTTACATATTTGCTGTCTGACACGCATCAAAAAACAATATGTAAAAACTTGATTGGTATATTAAAATGTTCGAAAATATTTGTTTTCAGAATATTTTTTTAAAAACTTGACTTGTTTCTACGTACGAGTGCGGTAGTGCTGTGATTACTCAATTTGAGATTTCGCAAACTGTGCCAACTATCCTTTCTCAAAGTGATTTATCTCTCCGTATTTTAGAGCCAATGAGTATCCAAATTATAAAAAAAAATGGCGTGATTCATATTGGGGGTAGCACTTAATCGCGATTTCAACCCACGAGGCACCTGTGCCCTCCTCCATGAGCGTCTCTGGCAAGCAAACTGGGGGAGTGGGGGGGGGGCGGCAGGAGGAGGGGGTATCAAAGGCAATGTGAAACTCCGCGTAATAAAACTTTAATTCATCCGCAACTTTATATTAATTAATTGCAGGAGAATATGTTCACTCGGTGGATTACAAAATGTCAAGTGCTGTCACAGCCATGTATTAAAACGTTTGAAGCTATGGACAGCAACGGTGACGCAAGAGACGGCGGCCGCTAGAGCAGTGGTACTGGGCAGCGACGCGTAATAGCCCCACTGCGCTTCGTCTGGAGCATCTTCACAATATTCGTTTCCCGCGTTTTGCTGGCCTAAGAAAAATGACAAACTATTTTTGTTTGCATAATGTTATCTTTTGTCAGCTCACTATATAAAGAATTAACATCGTTAGAATGGTATACTGAAAGAGTCTTTAAGTAAAAGATGAAATGAGAATAAAACTACTGGATGTACTTGCAAATATTCGTGGGTGGTTAGGGGGCGTTTTCCCCCATCGTCCCCTCCACAGACGGAAAGAGACGAAAAGTGAGGTGATGTTCTACTTTGAAAGCAATGATACGAATGTCTTTTCATTTGAAAACAATTCCAAAATTTTAAGGGAAGTGTTGTGAACAATATAAGCGTAGGTACAATAAAACAGAAAAAAATTCTTACACGGATACAGTTACAAGGCACCACTCAATTAGCTTGGCTGGCGAACTCTTTGCGCGAACGTAATATTCAGTCATCCCTTGAACGAGCTCTAAGTGAGAATCAATGTCAATTCTCTCTACCATCGTACAACCCCTATAGAGCGTCCGTGGTGTGATCTGAGCAGGGCCAGATTAATATCTTAAAAGAGGCCCTAAGCATGACCATTCCGATGTTACTGAAATATTGGACGTTAATATTAAAACTAATGTGAAACTGCTATACAATCTTTACAATTTAAAAACTGAAAACCCTCCTTTTATTTCTTTATAAATGACATCAAAGTTCGCTTATAAATCATTGGGCACTGCAAATGAATGTGGCGGCGAGACAATGTTCCTCATCGCTGTTCGCGCGGTCACGGACAACGGGGCAGGAGGTCGCGTTATCTTATCGTCGAGCACGCGCCTTCGGATCTGCGCCTCCCCCCCCCCTCCTTCCCCTTCCCCTTCCCTTCGCGATGATACGCCGACGGCGCCGCCACCACTGCCTGCTTCGGCGAAGATAGGGGGGGGACATATGTGGAAGCGGGGACGTCTCTTGCAGCGCCACGCACGGCGAAAATACACAAATAACGGTAATTTATTGTATCAACGATAAGCGAACCGGGAGAGGTGGCTCAAGGCATCAGCTGATTTCATTGCAGGGCCCCTGACCGGGAGGTCCTAGGTTTGAGATCCGTCGTTGGCAGGATTTTCGACAGTAGCTTGTGAGCTAGGTCGAATTCAGTCGCTGTCCGGAGGACAATTCTTGCGGCCGGCTGCTCTCGGTAGGTTTTCGTGGTTTCTTCGATCAACAGCAGGAGAATGCCGGAGCAGTACCCTAACAAACGGTCCACGGACAACGCGCAATATTTCCTTTTTCTTCATTGTCCTATCCTAACCTGTTACTTACACGCTAACATGCACTATACTACCACACAAGCCGGGAGATTGGTTACGAACTTTGAGCCTGTCTCGACTGGAGCGGTGCCCCGCTGGTGGGAGATACCTGGTTGAGGCAAACCCCGCTAGCCCATGGTAGGTCACCGCCGGATGTCGACATCCATGGAGGCAAGCTCACCGCCACCTCCTGAGGAAAAACACGCACTACACTTTGGGGACTAATTACCTTAGCAGTTGATGCGCATGGAATCACCAATAAATAAATAAATCCAGTAGATTAAGAATCTTTATCGTCATGTACAATATTGTTTTATTTGATGTTATGCCATTTTTTTCTACAAAGCAAAATATAAATTTTATGTCGTGTCCAGACAAATAGTTTGCTGCGCCGTACTATAGTAATCGAATTAAAATATGTCTTCCCGTAAGTATTAGATGAGTAAAACATGATTCTCTATGCAAATTTGTATTCGAGTTCTTGTATTATGGCTGCGTTGAGACAATTGAAGGGTTCACTAGAACAAGAAGCTATCCCACAATTTTTGTGAAATTGATTTATTAGTAGGACCCGGATAAATATGTACCAAAATGTGGAAAATGTGTACATATATATGTGTTATAATATACAAAAATATACTAAAAAGTATGAAATATGTATCATCAAATCATTTCTTTTTTATTAAAATACGTTTATTAGGGTATACTATAGCCCTATACCCCTTAGGGTATACTATATTCTATATAATTACCAAAATTAAACATTTTACTCTTACTAATCCTATTACATACAAAGGTTTCCATAACAATAAGAAACAAATATGATTCAAATTTTCAGCAATGAAACTTTTCCTATTATCTTGTAAGAGGGCCTTGGACCGACTAAAAGAGCGTTGAACATCTCACGAGTCTGTAGTGTGTATTTAAACTTGCACAGATCCTCTGGCGTGTGGTAAATATCCAGAGTGGCGGAATTGTCCTCTTAAAGCAATTGTTTTGATATGCCTATGGACGCTGCACCATCACAATCAAATTAATGTATAACTAGTATGAAATATTTAATGTCTAACTAGTTTGTATGAAACATTTTCAGCATTGTAGCTCATAGAATCAATCCAGTTGCCCCATCTTGTTAATCCTTTTTTGTATCGAAAGCCATGCGTCAACTTTATCAACCTGAGATTTAATCAGTTCCGCAACCAAACGCATGCACAGGACATGTTAGAAGTGGTAATTTTGGATACAACACCTGCAGGGCTTCTGCCCCTTGCAGATGTACGTAAGGCTGCATTAGTACCAGAAGGAAGACATTACTGTGTTTAACTCCATCAGGCCACAAAAATGCCATTGTGTTAGCAACAGTTCTGCAATGGTTTGATTATCGCATTTGGGCAACACTTAACAAGTTGACAAAAGAAACCTTTTAACCCCACACGAAGTTCGTTTCCGAAATATTCGATCGGTTTAGATGATTGCCCGGATTGTTAAAGACTTGTGAGCTTGCCACTCTACACCCATTAACTCACATATTTAGTGCATCCTTATGCAC